GTTTATGTGTAATTGTAGATTATGTGTCTTTGATCTTCCATGTATCCATTATTGTTAGTATGTTCTTATTGCTAACTTCTTCTTTCAGTGTTGGTAACCAGAACCTACTACATTCTATTAATGGGTTTGCTACACATTTTTCTTGGTCAAGTAAGATGAAGTCTTTAATTTTCCTCTTTTGACAATCTTTTTGTTTTATTACTATTGATTCATATTTCCATTTTATTCCGTGTTCGTTCTCCCAAGCAAGTTTGCATATTTGGAATCTGCAGAAGTCTTTATTTTTCATTTATGATTCATGCCCATTTATCCTGACACTTACTATGGTGTTGCTATTTCTCCCAAATGAAAATTATTGCGTTCACAAGGTATTTTATAGATGCAGTTCTTTGATCTCTCCTGTGTATTGTTTGGTTTAGTTTTGGACAAAATAGATCTCACTGTATTGGTTGTTTTGAATATTGTTGTGATGATATATTTACTTCATTTATTTTTAATTTTTCCGAAAAGCCCATTACATATGGTATTGTTATCTTCAAATACCGTCTTGAGAGTATTTCTGAATTTGCTTATGGTGTTATGTTGTTTCCTTTATTCAATCTAATGAAATTCCTTATTTATAAACAACAAAAAATCATCATAATATCTGATGATGGGAAATGGATTTCTATAGTTTGTTACTATAGAAATATTAGTTGGTTGTATATCTTATATCCTCCTTTGTAATTAACGTATTCAGAAAATTCACAAGAGAACTACATTCCTGTAGCTGGCTGTATTCCACGTATCACAACAAATTTATTTAAAATTCCTTTATAAAAGGTTTAATAATAAAACACCCCGTCGGGCTACATCACAGAACGTTTTCGGAATTAATATTCCATTATCAGTGCTATCTGGATATATACGTTTTGAGCCCATAATACTTGGATAAAAACACTTTAAATGTTGTTAAATTAAATTTGAGTGACATTATTTGAATTTATATACTAGGATGTATAAGTTACAACAGGAATAGATAACATGGCAACGTAAGACTCCACTGGAGGTTGTTAGTTCTGAGACAAAGTGTCTACGAGGACTTGCTGCCAATAAGTTTAATGGCCCCATTTATTTTTCATAAAGTCTTTTTCTTCTCAGTTTCCATGTGTTCATAAATTATTAAATTTTAATTATTTCTTTTTAATTATTTTTTAAGAGTCCGGCAGATCCTTACTGAAATCGTGTCATTATCTTCCCATCCTGACGACACTCTTAAAAAAAAGGTCGTACAGTGTTAAAATCGAGTACATAAATTCTTCTTGGTGTAGAGAGAATTCAACAAGAACCTTGTTGAATTTGGGCAATAAGTCTTCTTCTTCTTATATTTTTATGCCTTTTCTTTTTCCTGATTGAAAAGTTCTAGATGTGAAACCTAATACAGGGACTACTTTTGATATAAGGAAGAATCCTATTGAATTTAATACGTCTTTCTATTTTCATATTCTTATACGCTTTCGCTTTCTTGCGGAAAAAGCCCTAGAGTCTTAAAATTTTCTATAGAAATTCATCTTGATCCAAGGAAGATGGGAGATAGAAGATAGGAAGATGAATTAAATCAAATCAAAAAGGATATTGGAGTCAATAGATATACTTCTTATTTTCTTTCTCATCCTCTCATGAGGAAGTGAAGAATTCTGTCGGCTCATTCGATACTCTGTCGTCTGAAGGACCATTTTAACCATTGCGTTGTATCAGATTATTAATTGAAATCGAAGCAAATAAATAAATAAAACATTAAATGAAATCAGGAAATCACGTAAGTACAACGATATTTTCCAAGCCATTCTATAACAGTTTTTAGTTCCAGTAACACTCTCGCCTCCGTGTCCATCTTATGTTTTTGTATTTCAATTTAATAAAAAAATATTTCGGTGGACTGAATATTTCTATCCACATTATATAATTATTTCCTGATCAAATCTCTACTTTAAATATAGAAATATTTTATATATAAAAAAAATATTCCATTAGGTACTTATGGTATGCATCTACAATCTCTGGGTACGAGGGTCTCCCCCTTCGTAAATAAACTTAAGAGAGACGCTAATGATTGGAACTTTACTTGCCACAAGGTCCAAAATTAATATGACCTTATAATAGTGACTACCGTATAAGAACAAAATGCTATTTATAGTAATATGTTATTAAATATTTTTTTCTCTTGGATATTTTTAGAATGTCGGCACTAAACTTGTTAGTTGTATATTAATGTGACAAATAGATATGATAGGTTGTACTCTTTAGATCGGAAACTATAATTTATTACTTAAGCAAGTAATTACTTCTATTGAACGGATACAATGTATTTAATAGTAATAGTAATAAAAAAGGTATGAATTGAATTTGTAGATTGAAACAACTTCACTTCAAAAAAATGTTAACAGAACTATTATTCTATTGTAGGTATTTTTTACAGTGTAAGTACCACGCAGTAATAGTAGGTAATAAGCTTTAGTAATTCCTCTTATGATAATTTTCTGAAATTGTCTTATTGTGCAAGCTTTTAAACAATTAAGTTTCTTTTGTTTATTATTTTTATTAGATAATTATTTTTCGTGACTGGCTAGTACAAGGATAGTAAAAGTTGAGATGGTTGATGAGATTCACACAACATTTTGAGATTTTATTTAATGCCTTTGCTGCTTAATTGGGTCTTTATTGTCTTTACTTTAATTTAATATATGAGAAATCCATAAATTTTCATGACTCTCCATAAGTTTTTTTCAATAAAAGTAATATTATTGCCATCACTAATTATTCTTTCAAGATTTATTAAAAAAATGTATATTGTTTAAATATACAAATTTTACAACCAACCCATATTTGGGTGTATTGGATGTAACAAGGACCTATATTCTGTTGACGTTGGTTATTGTACCTACATATATATTTAAACTTTACAAAATCTGATTAAATCTGATTAGTGTGTTTCTGCACAGTTCTGTTTATCAGTTACTGTGCATTATGATAAAAAATTAGAGAATTCGGTCTGATCAAGCAGAAAATCTAGGAAAATTTTCATGGAAGAATAAATTAGAAGGGATTGAAGTATGTCAAAACTGTTTATAAATACGCTCAATATTAGGGTAATGACATTCGTGTTGTGTTGTCCTTAAGTACAATAAATTTTTATAGAAAAGATCATTGCATATATCAGTTTGTGCCTACAAGAGTAATTACGAGTACTTATGAATTCATATACAAAATAACCATGTATCTAATGAAATAATCATCATAAAGCACTAATGACCAACCGTAAAACTAAATCGTACCAAGAGGTGCTCTTGTGATTTGAGACTAAGGTCACTTATTATATTCATTACGCCCCCTACGACAACCACTAGATTATATCTTTTTGAGATAACTCTTTATGCTCGGTCGTGGTCGCTAATATTAAGAGATGACCATCAATTCTCTAGCTTCACTCTTAGAAACTAACAAAGAAGCATCAGTCATCCAAAACCTGTGGAACTAGATTCTATTACAATCCATATCTCCCAAGATGAAAAGTCACTATTGAAAAGTACTCAGAAAACCGCGATGAATGTCAGCATGGGACGAAAAGTCCCACCAAACAAACATGAGCGGTAAAACAAGAAGAAGGTTTAAGTACCTGTTGAAGCTTGGCTTCGGATGTTGCAGCAGATGCTAAAATTTATCCAAAAGCTATAAATATAATTATAGGGAATACCCAAAAGATCTTTTAGGTCGAATTTTAGAAAGGTCTATGACGCCTACAGTATTTTCTACAATCTAAAATACACACTTATTATACTAATATATTAAAACCACATACATAAAGAAAAGAATAGGAAGAGCCATTAATTATTGGTCTTAACACCAGAATTTAACCCTACGATATTTTAAGCTGAATTAGTAGCAATAGATTTTTGTGTTCGAGTACAGTATCCAAACAGTATCCAAAATAATTCTTTTATAATCCTTGTTCAATCATAATACTTCTCCACAAAAATGGTGAAGTTTCTTTTATATATAACCACAATCAATTTGACTGGACAGACCTAAAAATAGGTTGATCGCGAATGTGTTAAGAAAAAAATTAAGGTAAAACATATACCAAATATGGTGAGTTCCCTAAAAAATATATAATACTGTGCAATTCCTGTCTCTTACTGAGATACGTCGTAACATAATATATATATATATATATATATATATATATATATATATATATATATATATATATATGTATATATATATATATATATATATAATGTATATATATATATATATATATATATATATATATATATATCCTCAAGGAAAATGAATTCCTGTAGTTGAATGTATACCATGAATCACAAAAATTTTTATTTAAAAAAATTCTTTATAGGTATATATTATAAAATCACTATCACTACATCGCAGCAGAACGTTTTCGGTGGATAAGTGCTTTCCTAAACTAATTATTACCATATGTTTACATATTTAAAGCCACTAAATACATGAATTAAATTCATTTTACATTACATTTTTGATGATAAATTACTAGAATGTTTAAGTTATAAACGGAATTAACTTAATGGCAACGTAGGAATCCACTGGGATTGCTAGGAGGTGTATATAAGGACTTGTTGATAGCAACTCTCGCAAAACGGCACTTCATATGAAAAAAATAGGAAAGATTTTTTGTCACAAATTAAACGAAGAATTTAAATGATTTTTAATTTAAAATATCTCAGTGGCATACCAAGGTTTCCTTAAAAAATTGAGACCACTCAATATCATACCCCTATAGATACCCCCACATCACAGAACGTTATACTCGTATAACGTTCTGTGATGTAGCACTATAGGGTTTTTACATTAATATAAATTTTTATAAATGATTTTTTTATTTTTTTATATTAAATATATTTACGTAATATACTTAATTCAGAATACTAACATATTTCCTTTTCAGTGGCATACGCAGAAGAAGAGCTGGGGTCTATAAAATGGTAGACATATCGGATGGAATTCTTTTTAAGGACAACAGCTTTTTAAGCACATTAAATATTGGAAAAAGGTTTGTAACTACTACTAACGTGACGAAAATTGTTAAGTTGAATTAAAACACTTTTTTGTATTGTTTGTTAAATCCAATAAAACAATTTTAGAAAAATAAGATATTGAACATATTGAACAAAGAAGTCTTACTTTAGATCCAATATAAAATTTATACATAAGACACATTCTCAAATTATTGAGTTTAATGAGGTATATATTCTTAAAAATGTTCAATAATACATTCTTAAAATATATCATTTTTTTTTTAATTTGTCTGCACAAGACGATTCTTTAAACAAATTTTAATAAGTAATTAATATAAAACGCAATATAGACCGTCGAATTTCAATACGAAGTTCTACCACGATTTATCCCTTATGCCTTTTTATGTACTGAAAATGTCATATGTGACTCCAAGTTATAAGGGACGGAAATTCTAATATTTTGAATAGATGTTCGTTGGTGATCGTCATTATCATTATCACTTGATTATTCGTGGCTGTACAAAATTGGGATGTGCTTTTTACTTAGTTTTCTTTTTCATTATTTTACAATTAAGATAATTATTTTACAAATTTTGATAATTTTGATGCAGTTTTCGTAACACCTGACGGATATATCTCATCGGAGCAATAGATCTAAATGTTCGCACGAAACATACGTTTGAATAACAATGGTAAAGTAATGTAATCGTGTCCTTCTTCTTCTTCTTTTTCCAACAGTGTTATAACTCAAATTGAACCTCCTGTAATATTAATACAACATTAGCAATCCCGCAACGCTCACCTCCAAGTTCTTTATTCTTCGTTGTTTGCCATGGACAATGGTTATATCTACATTCACATATCAAAATCTTCCAATTTTATTTTTGTCTTTTGTGTGATTACCCATATTTCACATCGATAACATAATATTCGTCTAATGATCGTTCTATAGATCTTAATCTTCGATATACAGTATACGATTTTCAAGCGGAATTTATAAGTTAGCAAGAAATATCTTTATTGTCCCTCATTATTATTTTTTTCCTTTTTGCTTCTTTTCTTCCCTCTATATTTAATTGGACTACTAGACATATAAATCTTGTCATTGCTTCAACATCGTCTCCTATTCTCATTTAGTTTATATTTCTCCCTGTCCTCTGCGTTTTCTCTTTTATATATTCATCACGATGTTTTTATTTTTATTTTATATGGTTATATATATATATATATATATATATATATATATATATATATATATATATATATATGTTTAGCAGGTCCGTATATCTCGAGTCTATCCTCACGTTATCCATTGCTTTAAACACGGCCCACAGTTCAACTGATTCAATTTCGATTATATATTAATGTACCTTATTACAATTTGTAATAGTTATGACCAAATATTCAAATTGGTCCACTTGTTTGAAAGAACACTTTTGTTTCTCTATGATCATTTACAAATTTCTCTTATTTATAGTTTATATCATTAAATATATAATTGATATAAAAAAAATTCATTACATTTGAAATTTAAAAAAATAATAATTGTAAATTAATAACGAACACAAAATATGTTTTTGCGCTTTTAAATATGAAAATGGACAAACTTACTCTCATGGAAGTCATTATCAGGCCCCGCTGTAACCACTCAAACCAATACACTAATTAACTAAATATACCGACACCAGTATTTCATTTTTATATCTAGACATGTTAGTACAAATATTTCGATAATCTAAAACTTTTGTAGTTTAGCAGTAGAGAGATTTATACCAAATCCCTCTGTTTGTCTTTGATTATTTCCAATTTGTATTTGTCAGAGATTAGATTTGGACTTAATGAAAATGTTAGGTACCTAAATATTAGGGACGAATTTACAAAATCAGATATTTTTCAGGTTTCAAATAAGATTACCTCTTGCAGTACCGAAAAATTAAATTGAAATAGTTTTTACAATAATACTTTAATAATTAAGAAAGGAAATAAATAAAATAAAAGTTTAACATTCTTAATGTAAAAAAATAGTTGTGTTTACTTCTTTTATGAAAATGACAGTCTGATTTATAAACAATTCTACTCGATCTAGACTGTAAGGTTATACCTGGTACGTGTATGGGTCTAAAACTGCAGAAGGGTCGGGTGCAGTAATATTTAGTAGTGGTGGAAATTTAAATACTGACTGTTTTAAAATCTGACCATCATACAAAAAATAGTGAGAGTAACGGAAATCGTGGATGACCGATGATATACTTGAACTTCATAGATCAGAGAAAAAAACAAAGAAAATCTTCAAGAATATTAAAGAATGCATACCATCATAAGAAGAAAAATAAGAGAAGCCAAAGAGAAACAAAAAACAGAACAACGTCAAGGAATAGAGGAGTATCAGAGTTGATATGATAACTTCAATGTTCATCGAAAGGTGAAGGAAATAGCTGGAAACTTCCGAAACCGCAACAGTGGAAAAATAACAGTTTAGAACAATACAAGAGTTCACCATTGAAGAAAAGTAAGGTCCCGAAATCCTCCAGAAGAAATAACGGCAGCCGTCAGACAAATGAAGGATGGAAAGGCACCGGGACTAGATGAAATTCCTGCAGAACTGTTAAAGCTATTAGATGAAGAACAAATAAAAATAATAACTGAAATATTTAATGAAATATACAAGGCAGGAAAAATACCAGTAGAGTGGCTCAAATCGGAGTTGTGAGATGTGAAGATTATATAACATAAACAAATTATGGAAGTGCTGAAGAGGACAGGAATTGACGGAAAAGATTTAAAAATAATAGCTAACCTGTATTGGAGTCAATACAGGTTAGCTATTACTCTTTACAAAGCGGTACTCCAAATAGATGAAGAATATACAGATCAGATTAAAATCTTAAGGGGAGTAAGACAGTGGTGCATAATTTCACCACTAATATTTAATCTGTACTCTGAGCACATTTTTGAAGAGGATCTAAAAGATATTGAGGAAGGCATCTCAATAAATGGAGTCAAGCTTAATAACCTGTGGTATGCAGATGATACAATAGTGTTACCCAATACCATAGACGGGCTTGTAAAACTTAATGCACAAAATAACGGAAACAAGTAGAAAATATGGACTGGATATAAAGACCAGAAAAACCAAGCTAATGATCATCATCAAAGAAAACAGAACTGGAGTAAATCTGTATGTGAACCAAATGAGAATTAAACGAGTCTTACAGTACAACTACTTGGGAACTAAAATCAATGAGTCGTGGGGACAATACCCAAGAGATTGAATGTCGCATTGGAAAGGCAAAAAGTGCATTTTTGACTATGATTTCTGTGTTCAAGAGCCCTGACTTTATCCTAGAAACAAAAATAAGGCTCCTTAAATGGTATGTGTACTCAGTGTTTCTTTACAGAGTACAGACGTGGACATTGAAGGCGGAAACTCTATCAAAACTTCAGGCTTTTGAGCTATGGTCATACAGAAGGATCTTGAAGATATCATGAACAGACAAAGTCACCAATGAAGAAGTACTGCGGAGGATTAACACAACTGCGGATTTGGTCAACATCGTGAAGAGCCGTAAGCTGCAGTACTTGGGACATATAATGAGAAATTATGGCATATACGAGCTACTTCAATGTAGCTCGTATATACAAACCAACAAAGTCATCATAGCCAGAATGATCGCCAACGTTCGGAACGGACAGGTACCCTAAGAAGAATTTCAAGCAGATATTTTTGCAATCTTGCAATGTACAATGTGGACTTCCGAATTGAAGAGGATCAATATATGCACAGATAGTCAAACAGCCATAGGGACTCTTATAAACTGTAAAGTGGACTCTAGGCTAGTGTGAGAATGCCCAGGGAAACTCGACAGATTGGCGGAACATAACAGTGTCACATCAGAATTGGTAGCAGATTACCGGGGAATACACGGCAATAAAAGAGCTGCAATTTCCAAAAGAACATCAGCTAGAAAAACGGCTGGATCTGAAGGCAACATGAACTGAGAAAATATACCCGGTCAAATATACACCAAAATGTATATTAGACGGTCATGAGCTAATAGTGCTGAAGTATTTCAAAGAACAAGCAGAAATCAGATGAGAGACATAACAGACTTTCTTACTGGAAATGTGCCAGTCAAGGGACACCTGCTTAGACTAGGGCGGTTTCATGAAGACTTAAGCTGCAGACTCTTAGGAAACTACGAATTAACTCAAAAAAATATTCATCCACTAGACCCGAACAAGCTGGTACAAAGTTTCACAATCCTGGAATTGGTATCATGAAAGAATGTAATATGTACAATAAGCCAATTGGCTTAAATACGACCAGTTTACAGCAGACAGTTTCCACAAAAAAAAAACGAATAACCAATATTAAATCTATCTGTTAATATTTTTCTGTAGTGGAATTCATTGGAATTAGGATTTATAGGAAATTTTGTATTTTTGATATAAGTCCGCAGAAAATGTAAAACAAAAAATAGGAAAATTCTTATGTCCATCGCATTGGTACTCGCTTGAGGTACCACAAGCCTTCGGATATAATAAGGGACTTAATATTAAGACAATCAAGCTGATTTTAACATATACATATTACTTAATGTAAACTTCGGTAAAACTTTTTTAGCTCAAATATGGCTGGCTGACTAAAAAAACCATAAAAAAAACTTTTTAAATAGCATAATTATAATTAAGTACTATAAAGTAATTAAAACTTATTTGTTAATGCTTTTAGAAGCCCAATGAATATAAAGAAAAAAGCAGGATATAACGTATTTGGATAAATAACACTATTACCAATAAGTATTCGTTTTCTCAATAATAGGTTACAGCAAACTACCTATTACTTTTGTCACAGTGTAACTATAACGTAAAACGCAATGGTATTCGAATCGGCATTCGACATGTTAACGTGATCGTGACAATATGGAACGATGGGAATCGTTCGTTCAATCAGTAATAGAATAGGATGGTCATTGTCACCGACTTTATGATGAGCTGTATGTTTTGCCACTTAATAGCTGGGAATACCACCGTA